GTGTGTGTGTGTGTAAATGACAGATTTCCATTAGTGCTGCACATTTCACAAAACCCTCAGACCCTGAATGTCTCTCAAGCGGCTTCAGCTTTTTGTCTCACACACAAATAGTAGTTTAAGGGCCACTGGCTGCTTTTAACACGCTCCCCCTCCTAATCCTCGCCCTATTGCTCCCATAGGCCTCACCTTTCCTACTCATGCATCATCTCTTCCTCCCCTCTCTCTCCATCACTTACTCCTGACTCACCCTGCCTCCCGGCTAACAGTCCATGACTCATGTTATTCACAGAGCTGTCTGCGTGTCAAGGGCTCGGAGGAAAGGGGCAGGATGGGGAGGTTAAAAAGGAGCTGGATCAGGGAGGGAGTGCTGAGGCAGATATGACTGTGGAAGGACAACGAGAGACAGAAGGAAATCACTTTTGATCTATCATCAGATAGATTAAGACACTGGCAGAGAGGGAAGGAGTGATGGGGTGGGGGGGGAGGGAGGAAGTGAAACCGTGAGTGGTTGTGACCACCAGAGGAATTGTTTGAGTGATCAGATATCTGAGCAATCAGCAGGCATTTAAAAGCTTTGGTGGACTAAAAGCTGTGTGTGTATATGTGTGTGATTTTTGTCCGTGTGTCTTTGCTAATGATGTTATTCTGATCTCAGAGCTGCAGAGAATTGCTGTTGCAATCTGTGGGATAGATTACTATAGTCTCAAGCGTTCCACTTTACTGCTGTTTTCAGCTTGCTGACTTTAATGCACTCACTTTCTGCCCTTCGTTTGTTTTCCTGCAGCCCTCAAGATTTAGAAACCACCTAAAAAGTTAAAGGAACAAGTCAAAAGCTTCCTCGTAGCGATGTTCTTGTATTTTGCATGTCGAGCTCAGCGATGCTGCTCTCCTGCCCCAGGGCTCAAACTGCTTGGACGACTTTTTGTGTCTTCTCTACACTGTGAGACATTAGAACCGGCTATTTATAGTTCACCCCGAGGAAGCAGTGTGCAGGATAAATTTCATTGTGGCTCTATTAAAAGGAACAGAGTTAGATGTCAGCAAAATCTCCCCGTCTTTCTTTTTCACTCGGGGGACACACATGTGGTTTAATCTTCTCTAAACGAGACAAAATGTGTTTGGTTGGACAAACTAAGGCAGAAAATGTATATGAACCACTAACTAGTTCCTGTCTTCCTCCCCACAGCTTGTCTGTTGCAGTCCGAGCTGGTAAACTATGAGAGAGTGAAGGAGTACTGTCTGAAGGTCCTGAGCCACCAGAGAGACCACTTCAAGGCCATGTACCGAGCCGGCATCGCCTTCTATCACCTGGGTGATTACGAATGTGCCCTACGCTACCTGCGTGACGCCAAAAACCGCGAACCCACAGGTGAGAATGACCCAGTGTATTTATACATTTACAAAGCAGCCTTGAGGTACAAGCTCTTCTTTGATGGTGAACCAATGTGCTCACCTGTAGCTCCATATTTAAATTTATGTACTCTGACCTTAGTGCAGCCTATCACGTCATCCAGTTGTCTCATGATCTGAAACTTGAGGCATGTTTAATATGAGCATCAACATTTATGACAGGAAAAAATCAAAAAGCATAATTGGTACATTTCTCCTGCTATATTTTATTTGTTATGTGACAAACTGAGTGATAACTGAAGCCTTTTGTCCCGAGAGTGCTGAGCAGAAACTAAGAAGATGCTCTCTGTATTTCTACAACCTGTATTACTGTACAGACTTCCTGTTTTGCATGTTTGCTTTGACTATGCACATTTCCAAAAAGGTCAAAAGCACAGCTACACTTGTAATAATTAAAACTGCTCCATATTTTACATCAGTATGCTTTCATGATAAATTACACTGCAGACGACCAGTATTAAATTACTTTAGTGTAAATGAATTAAGTAAAGTACATAAGTGATGTGTGTAAGCAGCACATTGTGTTTTATAGTCTGTTTATTTGAAAGGCAAGACTGGCAGATTTGTTTTATGAATACATTTTATGTTTAATGTTTAGGATCCAGATGCAAAAGAAATTGAAGGAAGCCACAGGAAACCAGTCTAAACAGCAAAGACACGTGCGCAGATGTTCACAGGCTTTGTCCACACGTACATATTTCATTTTGAAAAATATCTTTCTTCACATGAATAGATGAAGTCTCACACCTTTGACATTAAAAGAAATCTTTTTCTTTGTCCACATTAGAAAATCTTCCACTCCCCTGACTCTATAGGTTTTCCAGAAATACTCATGTACATGTGGACAGCACAGCAAACCCAAATGGAGACTTACAGCTTTTTTTTTAGGCTGCTGATGATGGTAGTGTTCAAAATAACAAGGACCATGAAAAGGAGACTCAAACTAAATCCACAGTACTTCAGAAGGAGGATGGAAACACAAGAGACCACTATCAAAATAAAATAGGGGGGGAAAAGCTACAAACCAAAACTAGCATGTGTTATGATGATGATAAAAGCCAACACAAGACTCTGATCTTCAGATACCAGAAAACATATTAACCAAGAATAAAAACCCAAAAAATGTAACCAAGAAGAATTAAGTAAATATGCCGTCTCAGTAAAATGCTAAAGGGGCCACTTTCTTGACTAAATCGTAGTATGAGAAGCACATGCAACAGAGGCAACATGCTTGGCAGCAAATGCAGCTCCTTTTTTTAATATCAAAGAGTGAGTGTGCACATGCAGGTGTGCACCTCTGTGTTCATTACGTGCCAGCTGTAGGGCACATGGCATTAGGAGCTCTAGTAGATTTTTGTATGAATTTTTGCTGTGGATACATTTGGAAGGATATTTTTCTTATATATGAGTAAATAGATTGTTTTCACTTTGGGAAACAACCTTTTTAATGCCTTTGCTCAATCGATATATTCCAGGAACACGAAAGTTTTCAATTCACCTTATAAATCTGGGATTACCAGTAATTTGAGAACTCTGACCTAAAATGATAATCATGACCAAGTTTGAGCCAAATGTCTCATATGACAAAATGACAAAAGGTTGAAGGTCAAATCTGGATAAACTTGAATTGTTTGGAGAACTTTATCCAATCGGAAAGTGTCAAAAGGTGAGAGGTCAGGGTTCTTTCTCGTCATCGATGAGCAGTTACAGCTGACTAAAGTAAAAGCCTGTGGCTCTTTTCTCTACATTGTTTACCTTTCTGCTGTAGCACGTCTTTTAAAGGGGCAACCGACTGCTCTGCTGCCAATGCTCAGATCATCCACCGATGACCCATTCATTTTCTCTCTGCAGACACCAACGTGCTCCGATACATCCAGCTGACAGAGATGAAGATGAGCAAGAGTGGACAACGGGAACGAGACAGCGGCAAGGAGACCCAGGGCTAACCTTTGACCTTTCCCCCCTCCTGAACCCTCTGACCTTTCATCCTACAAGTTGTACCTCCCACTCTCCACTTTCTCTTCCTCCCCTGTTGACTCCTCCTGACGGCAACCCTGACAGAAGAGACGCAATCGCCTGCCTGTTACAGACAAACACATATCAAGCGCTGTCTGCGACCCACCCTCTTTCTTCTTCCTCTCCCTCTTCTTCTCCCTCTTTCTCCCTCAGGTGCTGTGGTTCCTCTCCCTCGACGCAGTCAGCAAGGAAACTTTAAAAAAAAAAGAAGAAAAATCATGAAAATACATGGAAGAAGCTGTAATATATACTCATACAAACCCATCATTGTGGTGGAGTCAAAACGAAGCTTCAGCCCATACACATGACAGACAGACATCTGTGTGATTCAGCAGATGTTTAAAAAACATGGAAAGCATTTTGTTTCTGCTCTCTCGCGCTCTCTTTTTCTCTCCGTTTTATTCTGAACTCTCGAGGAGAATTTGGGGGATCTCGGGAAGCTCGACCACACCGGGAGGAGGGGCAGGGATGCGTGTGGAAGTGTGTGAAACAGGTTTGGAGAATAAAAATGGGTGCGGTGAGGGGGTGTATATGTGTATGAGACACATGCCAAGACCACATCCCAATTTGATTGTACATCCTAACCCACCAGGTCTCACTCAGGCCACTTACCCAGACTATGAGATGGACTAATATAACAAGTAGAAAAAAAAAGCCTGCCTCCGTGCTTAATCTATCACTTTTCTGTCTGGATTTTTCTTTCCTAGATCCCATCTATCTCAGTTTCTTGACTGTTTTTTGAATTTAAGGGCTAATTCAAGTGTTTATAACCCCGTATTAGGCTTTTTTTTAATTTGCTGTCATACTCAGTAGTGAACAATCGGTGGTTAATAGCATCTGTGTGTGCAGCAAAGAGCCTAAATTCTCCAAGCGGTTCATTCCGTTGCCTGATGTACTTTCGTGCAAACTGGTGTGTCTTGAATCTGTTGAATCTCCTGGGTCGTGTGTCGTGTTACTGTTGTTGAGACTGTCGAAGCCCCTCCCTCGCTCCTTCTCATCAATTCCACCATCCTCTGTTCTCCTGTTAATGATGTCACAACGGAAAATAGCCAGTGAGATCTGACTTCCATCAGCTGCCGCTGGCTAGATGGAGATCCGCGAGAAATTTTTTCAGAGAGAGAGAGAGAGAGAGAGAGACACTTTTATCCTTTTATCACTAATGCTGAGGCTTCCCAGACATCCATAAACCACCACGGAGACTCTGGGCAGCGTTAGTGCAGGGAAAACGCACACACACACACATACACACATCTGGCCTGATGGTGCAGACTGCCGTCTTGGAGCACTTCACCTAGAGTGAGTCATTTGAGATTTCTCCTGCTTACAGTTTACTGTATGTTGATAGATTAAAACACCTGTGCCGGGCAGATAACACACAACATTAGCATTGCAGACGATCTGGTTTGTGGATATCCATTACAAGCTGTCAAACTTATCTTGTGACGTGTGAAGCTGAATCATTGATATGTGGCTTTTTATAATAGCTTTACCACAGGGTTAAATCTGCCTGCTCTGTTCTGCAGAAGGCTGGATTGATCATTTGTGAGAGCATGACCTAAAATATCCCGTGAAAACCCAGTTTCCTCCTTATCATGTGCAAGCCCACCTCCTGCATGTAACATGCGGCTCCAGAGCGTTGCTTCAGATGTTTTGGGATTGGGATTATATCTGCTCTATTGCTTTCTGTCATGGCATGCTGCCACTCAACTGTTTGCTTATACCTCTGTTTTATCCATTCTGCCCTTTATAAACACAGAAGGTGGCGACAGACTGTGATCACAGCAGTAGAATAGGTATGAAATACTTCTTAAAAATTAAGGTCACCTTCCGCCTCGACTAAAACAACTGATTAGTCCACTGCTTAAGAGGCTGAGGAGGAAATCAAGTCAAATAACGGCATTGGGTGAGGTTCCCCCCCCACCCCCTTCCCCGTTTATTTCATTGACCTGCTATGAGGTAAATAGGGACCTAAGTGTGTCAATGGGACTCTGGAGAGACGGCACCACGCGCTGGAGAGACCGGCATGAAACCGAGAGGCTCTGGTGGAGGGAGAAGTAGGCCATCATCAGCCCCACTAAAGCAGCTGCATCTCTAAATTGGCAGCAAAAAGCAAGTTTTGAGCTTATTTATCATCATACACTGCACTTAGAAAAAGTGTGTGGACACCTGAGCATTAATCTGCAGCCTGAGTTTGCTCCCATTCAGCCACGAGATCATTAATGATGTTGGGCGACGACGAGGCCTGGCTCACAGCCGACGAGGCGTTGGATGAAAGCGAGGTCTCGGTCTGCGTTGTTGTGCAAGCTGTAGAATAAGAAATGTAGCAGCAGCGTGCACCAGATCCTGAAAAAGCAAATCAGACGTGCACAATATAAACCTCTCTGAGGAACGCAGGCAAAAGTGATCACATAAGCATAAACATGGCTGTGGCTCAAGAGGTAGAACAGGTCATTCACTAATTGAAAAATTAGTGGTTCAATCCCTGCCTACTCTAGTCAGCATGCCAAATCCCAGGTTGCTCTCTAGTGTGCACATCAGAGTGTGAATGTTAGATAGAAAGCACATAGACACAAAGGTGAGCGGATGAATCCAAGTATTGATACCAGTGCTGTTATTGGTATAGGATCAATACTTTGTTTCTCTCCTTTTCAGTAAATAGCCTAACAAATTGTGTTAAAATAATTATTTTTTGGGAGATTAAAACATACACCTTAAACGTGCACTATAAAAAATGTCTGAACCTTTTCGTGCTGACTATCACATCTATTTTATTTACAGCCTGAAGCACATTTAAACAACAGAAGTTGAACCAAAGTGCTTTATAGACGACCACATTTACATTCCAGCTCTCCAACAAACACAGTTTCAAAATACCTGAAAGGCTGAAAGGTGATTTAGTGGTCATTAAAATGTGTTTGGAATTTGCAAATTGACAATGATCCATCTCATAAATCACAACACACCGCTTTAGCCCAAATAAGCTGCCTTTATAGGCTAAAACTATCGATATCAGTATTGGTATCTGCAATACTGGCCCTGTATTTACTTGGTATCGGATCGATACCAGAATTTGCAGCAGAGCACAGCACTACTTCGACATAGGTGCAGGATTTATGTCATAATTATACAAAAATATAAACATTTACATGCAAGGCTGTCCACATATTTTTGTCCACATGTTGTGGGAAATTGTCTGATTAAGTTTAAGGTTCTGTTTAAGTCTCCATCTATGAATTAGTGCCACGATCAGCAATGCTGCTGCAAAGCCTGAGTGAAACATTTGATTTGTATTGGTGTTGTGCAGCTCTGGGGTTAATTAGGATGAAAACACTGAATGCAGAAGCTTTCCTTGCTCCTCCTTTATGTTCTCTCTTGGAGATAAATCACCACAACAAGAAAGGAACGGCACCTGCAAGCGCCATCTCCATAACTACCTTGGCCGAGTCCCCTCACCCAGGTGTCCCCTCGAGGATCGGTCTCCTCCCACGGTCCGCTCTCCACGGCACCAGCCCCCCCTCCCCCTTCCATCTTGTTTTTGTCTTGCAGTGCTAAGTCATTCTTGCTCAACTTGTACTACTGTACTACGACCGTCTAGGGATTCCTAGCTGCACATAAAACAGGATTGTTTCTAGCTGATTGGTTTCCTTGATTAATGACCAAGCTGACTCGGAGGCTGTTATCGTAAGCATAACCTGACAACATGCTGTCTGTGCAAATGGAGACGGAGACGCCGGATCTCTGTGTCTGTGTAGCTTTGAAAACAAACAAAAAGCACAACAAAAAAGAGAGACGGGAAAGTTAAAAAAAAAAATACTGGCTGTGTTACTTTATTTTGGCTATTTTTACTTTGATGTCATTTAAGGTAAATGTTTGTCAAATGTCAAAGTAGTTTTTGTGAATATATGATACAAATGTACAAAAAAAATAGAAAAATGGAAAGTTTTATGGTTGTGAAAAGCTTTACTTCACTAAATTACTTTATCAGCGGAAAAGAAAAGCAAGAGATAGAAAAGAGCATTTAACTACAGCTCCTTCACAGAGCTGCTTTGTGACTGTGTCTGTATTTGTTGGTATTTCTGTTGATGTCCTTCAAGTCGAGGGATACAGATACTATTCTGTTTCTGAACAGCGAGACGAGCAGTAAACACAGGAGTGGATGACACTCTGAGGAACTTGGACCAGAGCTGCTTCTCAAAGCTGCAGGCCTCCATCCTACCTGAAGGGACACAAAGCTGGGGTGTCCAGGCTAAAACTGTGTTTTTGTCTCTCCTCGCTGCCAAGAGGCCTTTCTCTTTTTCCCCTTTCAACTTTCAGACATCCAACAGGCCTCCATCACTGGTTTTACTGAACTGCTAGCCTGGGAATGCACTATTGATTGGTAAATGAAGATTATGAATAAAGTTTCAAACAAAGAGGAATGTTGCTGTTGTGTGGTCATGACTTCATCTAATTTCAGATAAAACTACACAGGTAGGAATCTGGAAAGGTAATAATTTGTAAATGAAATGTAGCCATGTGTAGTAACATGTGGACGCAGAAGACAAACAGACCGTGAAGCTGAGCTGAAGAGAAGTTCATGACAAATAAGGTCTAGTAAGGTTGAAGAAAAGCATTTAAAAGTATAAAGAAGATCAGAAGGAGATGCTTTGTGCCTTTCTGGATCTAAAGAAAAACATGATAGTGTGCCAAGAGAGTAATAGAGGCAGTCAGACATGGAAGAGACATATATTAGGGTGGCGTAGGACATGTATGAGGACAACAAGACAGTGGTGAGGTGTGCGGTAGGAGTGACAGATGGGTTCAAGGTGGAGGTGGTTTTCCATTAGGGATCAGCTCTGAGCCCCTTCTTGTTCACAGTAGTGATGGACAGGGTGACAGATGAAGTCAGGCAGGAGTCTCCATGGACTATTATGTTTACAGATGACATTGTGATCTGGGGTGAGAGTAAGGACCAGGTGGAGGAGAGTCTGGAGAGGTGTAGGTATGCACTGGAGAAAAGAGGCGTGAAAGTCAGTAGAAGCAAAACAGAAAACATGTGAGAATGAGAGGGAGACAGGTGTAACAATGAAGCTGCAAGGAGTAGTGGTAGTAAAGGTAAATGAGTTTAAATACCTGGAGTCAACCATCCAAGCCAAAGGACAGTCTATGAAAGAGGTAATCAAGGTGATTGTGACAGAAGGATAGCAGCATGCTGGATAGGATAGAAGGACGGATGTACGTTTGAAGGTGGTGGCAGTAACAAAAAAGACAGAACTGAAGACATTAAGACTTTCAGTGAGGGTGACCAGAATGGACAGGATTAGAAATGAGTGCATCAGTGGGACAGCTTAGGTCAAACAGTGTGGAGATGAAGTAAAAGAGGCGAGGCTGACATGGTTTGGACATGTGCAGAGGAGGGATGTTGAAGATGGAGCTGCCGGGCAGGAGGAAAACTGAGAGATTTGTGGATGCAGTGAAGGAGGGTGGTGTGACAGAGGAGGATGCTGGGGATAAGGTGAGATTGGAGGCAACTGATCCACCAGAGCAGGCCCTAATGGGACCAGCTAGAAGAAGAAGAAGAAGAAGAGCCCTTATTCAAAAAAGCTGCTGAGACTCTCTGATGCCACAGTTTACTTCACCCCACACTCTGACTCACCTGCACAAATAACTTATTCTACTCACCCGACTCATGATGCAAAGAGTCATATTTACCATAAATGCTTGTTAAATCTAACATTATACATATCTCAAACTTAATTTAATCTAATGCATGAGGCCTACTTACTTTAGCCGAGGTGCTGTAATTGTAGTGTTACAGTTTGGTTAAAAATAAATAAATAAATAAGCATGGACGATTTATTTAGGCTTTCATAATTATCACAATAATTACCTTAATTAAAATTATTATGGAGTGCACCTAGGCTCTGCTTTGACCTCTGATGTGTTGAAAACACGAGGCTGTGAAGAGGCTAATATCACTCTGGCATGCTTCATTCTTGTAGAGGTCTGTCTGTGTGGCAGATGGTAAGAAGATGTGACAGAGCATGATGGAAGCAAAGAGAGAGAGGAAAATAAAGGTTACCCCGAGGGTGATGGGAAGGATGAGGAGAGGATCAAAACTGAAGACACGGACAATATTGGAGGACATAAACACTGAAGGATGAGACGGAGGGAGTAACAGAGAGGGAAACACTGAGGCAACTAAACCATGTGCACACAATTCAAGGACCAGAATTTAAACTGTACAATAAGAACTAAAACTAATGCTCAAAATTAAAATTAAAAAAACATGACCTTCGAGACACTAGAGCAACAAGGAACCCTAAACAGAAACCCAAAATCAAGTATATTCTCTAAATATTCAAACCCCAAAACAAAACAAACCACTGGATCAGCCCCTCCAGTCAGACACAGGAATGCTTCACACACTACATAAGAAGTAAACTTAGCTCGATTTCTTTTAAAGCTTTGTCAACCAACACAACACATCGAGGTCCACGGGAAAATTAAGCTAATGTGACAAGGCTGGTATGTTGTGGTTATTAGATATAACTCAGTTCTCTGATATCGATAGGTTCTTTTATTAGTTTCTTTCTTTTTCTTTTTTTTTTTTTGGGGGGGGGGGGGGGGGGTGCTTTTCAGTAGAGGACAGTAATATTTCTGCAGAATTTTCCACCTTTGAATCAGACTACATCATCTGAATCTTCATCTTCATTAGTGGTTTAATGATCTGATGAAGATTCAGTTTAAAAAAAATAAAAATAATAAAGTGAGTCCTTCTGCAGATCTGACGACACACCAACTGGCAGGCAATCTGGTTAGTTGTTCACTTTGAAAGTGAACAGAAAACACACACACACACACTCCATGCCTGCCTCTTTTTGCTCTCTGTCCTCCCCTCAACACTGTCACCACCTGACCCAACCTACTGCCCGTGAAATATGTCTGCAGGGACACGAGAAGGGGCGGACTGTGGCATAAAAAATAAGAAATATGGTGAAAATATGTGTTGAGGGGGAAAACAAAGAAGGTGGCAAACATGAGAGTCTCATCACAACAAGACAAAAGACAGATGACGTGTGTGTGTGTGTGAACCAGACGTGATGTTCAGCGTGTTGAACCCTCTCTGCTGTCACTTTATTGCCACTCTCTCTGCTCTTCACTTCATTTTCAGGCTCATCGTCCATTTTTTTCGTGTGCGTGTGAATGTGTGTTGTTGCTTTTAATAGCATCACCATGGAAGTGAAGAGGGGTTGCTAGGTAACTGGCTGGCGTCTGAAAGGGTGTTTGATAGGCGGTCATACTGACAGACACAGCAGGAGAGGACGTGCGTGTGTGTGTGTGTGTGTGTGTGTGTAACATCTGTATGCACCGCGTTTGAACCATCTTTACATTGCAAGGTTGCGGCTCAAATCTCACATTTTGTTCACATGTTGATAATTTATTTATTACACCTGTAAGTTTTTGTTAACTGTGCTAAAATGCACGCTAACACATTCACGTGCCATCATCCAGCGCAGCTGCAGTGTCAGGAAGGAACAACGGGAGAAAAACAGCAGGCATGGGAAAGAAATGACATCATAGGGCACAGTGGTGACACCTAGAGGAGTTTGCCTGCTGCTACAGGCGCCTTTGTCTCTGCTGCTGTCAGGAGTGGAAGCTCCCACCAGTGTGAAACGTGAGACAGCAGCAGTGTGATATAACCAAGACCAACTTTAGAGGTCCTTTAATGATGTCCTCCGTCACCTCTGCTACATTTTAAGAAGGAAAACGGCACGTCTAACTTGTCTATTTGTCTTGTCGATAGAAGACTGCTGACTTTTCACTGAAAAGACTGAAACACAGGTTACATTGAAAACCAGCCTCCAACACTATATCTAACAGTTTGGGGCTTTTTGAGCGTCTCATGGTGAGTGCACATCTACAGCACTCACAGAAAGTGAAAAAGTAAAAAGGTCTGGATAACTTTTTTCCCCCATTAATAAATGAAGTTTTCATTTATAAACTGCATTTTGTATTCACTCAGGTTATCTTTGATTAGAATGAACATGTGTTTGATGATCTGAAACATTTAAGTGTGACAAATATGCAAAAAGTGAAACCTATGAAACCAGGAAGGTGGCAAATGCCTTTTCACAGCACTGCAACAGGCATCTCTGAAGCTCATTAGCTTATATTTCACACCAGAACCATTGAGAAGGATAAACAGAACCGCGGGAACAATAACATGCATGTTTTATTTTGGGGTGAACTGAGCCCGATGCTTTCAGTTCTACTTCTTCATCTGAAAGTCTGTGACTTCGTGACAATAACAAAACCAGATGCAGTCGTGACACTGAAGCATCTTTGTTTGTTTTTATTTTATTGTCTCTCATTCGTTTCACATTTACTCATCATTGAACCGTAGAAACGTCACAGGTTGAGACCGAAGATAACATGGATGTTTCAGCTTCCCAGGTTTTCCTTGGTTTTTCATTTTATACTAAACAAATATATACAGATATCCCAGGAAGAGCATCGCAATCATAATTAACCCTTTTCCATAATAACAATACATTTAATAAATACTCAGTGTTCTTAACCACACAACGGGAGTTTGGGCTCACCCTTCAACCAGTGGGATTGTCATCATCCCATACAAATAATAAACATGCGCGCACACACACACACACGTACTCACACACACACACACACACACACACACACAAAGAAATCTGCACAGTCAAGTAATAACATCTGTAGCCAGGATGAACCGTCCTCTGTTCAAAAACTACTCCGGAGATAAAAGTTGATTTGTCAGCCATGACGGGAGCACTTTGTGCCGAGCTGGTCCACCAGTTGCCCAACTTAAAGTGCAGGTGACATCGAACACAGCAGATGAAAAAGAGAGAAGGTGAAGTTTGGAATCGAGTGGCGGGCTTCTGTCAGCGCTTTCTACTTTGTGTCCGTTTCAGTGGCGTGAGCAGGATGGGACCAGACTGTCGGTATGTAAGGAATGTCTCCATAAAAAGTTTTTTAAAAAGACGGAAGAGAGGAACAGATGTGTGGCAACCAGTGGTCTCATTTTAAAGAAGTGAAAAACCGTTCACATGTGAAATGACATGCACTGAAAAAGCACCAGCACACAGAAACAGGCGTATCTCCTTAATCCACACGTGTACAGTAATACATACATATACATATATATATGTATATGTACACATTCACACACAGAGATGCACACCGGGGCTGCTGGACCAATAGAAAAACATTTTTGCTAACAGGCTGCAGCAGGGATGGTGCAAGCACTGAGAAAATAAACTCTGATTTTTTTTAAATTTTTACCTTACAAGGCTGAGGATATACACCACCAGTGAGAAAAAGGCTTTTTCCAATCTCGAGTCTGGGAGAGAAGAGGACGACAGATGACACGTGTGAGGATGAAGAAGGTGGA